TGCAAACTGCGTGTCCCGCTCCTGTTCCAACTATTTCTCAATTGATTTATTGCGGTTTACCTTTAATATGGTTTAAAAGGTTCCCGTCTGTTAATTCATCAAGTTGAGTTATGTGTTGTAAAGAAAAATCCCCCAATAAATGTTTCCCCTTTAAGGGCGACAGCGAAAGGCGTCTACAATATTAATAGTTAACATCACTTTAACTCCGTATATATATATAGCTAATATAATCTAGAAAAACTTTAACAAATCTCGTAAAAATATTTATTACCCCCATTTAACATTTGTTTAATTACCACGCTTTCCATTAAAGTAATTTGGTACCTCCAAATTTCTGCTATTATATTATTACGGTTTCCGCGCTCCACTTGGATATATTGTTTTGTCGCGGAATTCCAGCGTCGGTACCTACATTTCGAAATGTAGATTTTCATCGGAGAATTATTTTTAGGCTTACCATTCTTTGATTTGTTTGATGAATGGGTTATTTCAAACGCTGTAAACTTTCGAGACTTTTGTAAGTTATCAATCACGTATGTTTATTACACTTTCCGAATTGAAGCCGCACACGTTTTAAGGTGTAACAACGCAAAATGGAAAAGTCGATTGGGGCAGTACTTTCCTTTGTCGCATCGCGTAATACAATTGTATCACATTTTCAATCTAACACGATACTGGATATCAATAGCAAACACCCATTGTGTTCCATTGTTAGTTCCATAATACAACATTTATTATTTACGGTATAACGTACAGTACATTATTATACTGAAAGCTGGCGGTTCAATAAGTTGCCGGCGACAGGCTATGTTTATAAATCATAGGATTCGCCAAAGAAGCAAAAATGCTAAACCAAAATATCAGTTGTTACGCACAAGCTGGAGTGTACAAGCAAAATTATTCTTCGAGCATTCCACTTTACATGGCGTCCGATACATCGCGGAAGAAGGACGGCCTCTCGTTGAAAAGTATGTAAATTTCGCATTATAATTTCTTATTCACGTTAGAAATCTTGAAAAAAAACGAAATAATATATAAAATAAGCTTGTTTACTGCATTAAATAAGGTAATTTATAGGCATCCAAACGTATATTTCGAATCGCATAAAGGGCATAATAAAATCTACATGTAAAATCGATTTCGTTGAAATTTTTTGAAGTAGATATAACTTTTGTTGTGTTATTATTTTAATTTTATATTCGGATTCCTTTTTCCAACATCAAACAGATTTTTGATTTAAAATATGCTTTATGAAAGCAACTTCCCACCTAGTTTTTTTTTTGAGATCCTTAATAACGTTGCGGAACTTTGGCTTTGATTTAAAGCATTGGGAGGTAATAAAAGTTTAAAACTTTTTCAAATACATTCGCTATAATACTCAGTGGTTTTCTCACTTTGATTGATTAAACGATAATTAATACTATAGAGCGTTGGAACACCTAATTTATAATCTGGTGCCTGTAATTTGTAATCGTCATTTTACCATCAAGTTCGTTGAAGAGGTACGAAGGTATGAAGAGTGCCTTGGGCGCTGGAACCATGTCACTGTAAAAGATACATTAGATTCTATTTTATGCCTATTTTACCTATTACAAAATTGAACCCTTTCAACCACCAGAGATTGAATAATTAGAGCACAGTTGATGGACTGTTCGCTGAATTGGAATGGGTTGGTGCGAAACAAAAATGTTTTCAAAAGATTTTTGAACACCAATTATTGAGTACCTACAAACGGAAAAATGTAGCCTTTTTGTTTTATTGTTAGCCATACAGCATCATTAAAAGAAAATAATACAAAAATCATTTTTGTGGCGTCTAGGATTAATTTAGTGACACATCGTAAAAATTAATTATTTTACTTTCTATAAATATTGCCTCTATCGAAAAATGTCTTAAATAAAATTTATTCGGATTTGTTCTGTACATCATAAACCGAAATTACAATGCATCCCTTTTTGGGATAATTTTATAGAGAACGAGAAAACAAGCAATGATGTAAAGTTGTAAATTTATTTTAAGTTTTAAGTTGGTGTCAGTTTACAGTTGAATTTTTGAAATTTTTCTTTATTTTCGATCCCCATTTCGTTTAATTTCTGATTATTCTCTAATTATCTAATTTCATATTGCACTACCCTAGTTCCTATGCTCTCTTCAGTAACTCTCACCACCCTTATCCATTATACCCGCTCTATACTTCACAAAATTAGCTAAAAGTTGGCAAAAAGCCTCTTTTTTTATAGATGTTAGTGGCTTATTCTTGTGTGTATGTGTGTTTCGATGGGCTATAACTTGTTGTTAGCTTGTTTTTTTCCGCGGGTTTACTGATGGACACTATAATTGCATCTCGCCATTTATGTAAGAGACTGTGCTCCCTTCAAATTTTATTGTATACAATCTCTGTTTTCCGATTATAGGTAATACATAAGAAATGGGTATGGGATGTTATAATTATAGTTCTTTATAGCGTAAAACACTACACCGCCAGTTGTCTATGCTTATTTCCACGACTAAACACACAAGTTTGGCTTAAACTTTTTTTCTTTTTTTACTGGCACAAATAATTTCTGTAGGCGTAAGCTCAAATGACACCTTTAAGTACGGGAAACTTGGCCGGAGAAATTTCTTCTGCTTCCGGTTGTTTACCTTTTTTTTATTGTAAACATTTTGAAAAATTCGCGTTAAATTAATGTTTCAAACCAATGCCAGAAAAAATGGCAACCTTCGGTCTGGTAATCTCGACAACCGAAATTGATACTCTTCTTTGTTCAGAACCAGAAAACAAATTTTGAGCAATACAACTAGTGCTCCCGTAACGCAAGGTCGAAGGCTCAGAGAATTTTCTTTTGCACCACTACCTGGTCGCGCAGAATATTTCTAAAACTATTCCAGACTAATCCCTACCTATTCTTTGTGAGTTAACTAACGCTTTTTTCAAGATGGCATCCAGCGAGCAAGTGAACTGTGTTTTGCTCAAGATCTATATTAATGAAATCGCTGTACCCTGCGTACGGAAAAACTGTTCCTTAAGAAATCCACCCACTGGAATTCGACTGAATTACTTCTTTACTAACAATGTATACGACGATCTAATCCTTACTTTGCGGTTTGGAACAGATAATACTAATTTAGCTTACTTCGACATCATGACGCCGAGGCTTCCGGAACAGATTATGAAGTCATTAAGCTGTAGAATTTAAATACTCACCCTGTGTACTCTTTACAGCCAACCTACAACAATGCACGCCCCTAAAAAAATTTCCAAAATTCTAACTTTATAAAAAAATCGCATGACACCAATTGCAGTTCAGGAATCCGGATGGACAGAAGACCTGGCTCGTCCTTCTCAAAAACCGATAAAACGGCTAATGGCACACCAGTCCTCGTGGTGATTTCGTTATTTATTAGATCTACACTCTTCTTCGTGAGTTGCGTAGGACCTAACTCTGTCACATATCGTTGGTGGTGGCGACTATTTCGTTAAGGGTAACTTCAACTATTGACAGGGCTTTTTTAGAAGTCAACCATTTTTTTTGGAACTTTCAAAAACGCAAATCGAATTAAAAATCGCAAATAAGTTAACCAATTTTATTAGTTGGACGAAATTAATCAAAATCTCAAAGAAATAATTAGATTCATTTAAATAATCTACAAATCAAATTACGTGAATAAATCCGCCGATCAATTCTATCGACCAAAATTCATTATATAATCTCAAAAATCAACATAATCTTTCGATGGAGACTCCAAATGGCAACAAATCTCTGAAGATCTATAATCTCATTGCATAAACCATCGCGAATGTCTGGAATAGCTTCTCCAATTCGGTCTTTTACCTCATCTGCGGTTTGAAGCAATGCTGTTAAACCTTGTCTTTTAATTGACTCACAGGAGGAAATCGAGCGGCGTTCAATCCGAAGAACGAGGGTACAATTGAATGAGTACCTATCTAGTTCTGCTCAAACATTTCGTTCAAACAACTTGTACTAATATATTGGCGTTATGGGCAGGAGCACCGTCTTATTTTTTACATTTTTACAAAAATTTCGTAAAAGCAATTTAAAAAAATGTCAGTGGCTTCAGAACATGTAAATAAAAAAATTTGTCTTTTGCCAAGGTGCCCTATTTAATAATGTATGGGGTTTGTTAATGATTAAATTATAATAAAAGTCGATATAGCCTTGGGTCCTTTTTGTAGAAGAGACCGTATACTGCAAACGTGTAGCATATTTATCGTTAGTAGTAAAATGGTAGATTAATAAAGCTCTTTTATTGAACACTAACGTATCACTAGTAAATCTAGGAAGAAGTTAGTGTTAGAAACCACTAGACTATATTTTTTTGTGGTTTATGAAACACTAATAAACGACAGTGCAGTTTCTTTTTCTTTCAAAGGAAATCATATGGTCGTTTTTTGGGCAATATACAGTACCAACTTATACACAGATTGCCTTGAACAGATAGCTTCTTCTTATGTTATTCCTGAAATATCACCACGAAACCTAATATATTCTGAGAATTAACTAAATTCGTACCTTCTATTAAAATCGCTATGAGACTATTCCGGGGGTATTTTTAGAATTGCAAGGAATTTATATAAATTTCCCTTTAACGTTCACTAACGATAATTTTATTGCATAGCCTGCTGACATTTTGAAGTGGATCATAAAGCAAAGAAAGTGCTTGAGAAATAGATATTATGTGTCAGAGGTACATACAGCGTAATAATTTCGACTTGTTTCGTTGCCTTCATAACGAAAGCAGGAAATTTCCTTTAATTTAGGATCTTTCTAAAATTTCACAGGTTTTGTTACCACACGTTGCTTTTTGGTTCGTCAATGAAATCCTACACTAAAAATGCTCTGCAGGGCGCTCTCTTCGGTTAGGATGGTACCGAAATCAAATGAAACACTTATATCTTTGCCCTATTCTGAATTATGCTATAATTCTGACAACAAATTCAAAAAAATAAAAACAATCATAAATAAAAACGTTTTTTGCAGAGTTATGTGGTTCTGCTGCGTGTCGATTGGGGCTGTTACAACTATGGTTATAATAGTAAGCTTGTGGGAGAAATTCCAAACGAACCCAACAATAACGGGTTTGGATACCGATTTTCACAACTGGGATTTGGCGTTCCCAGCAGTTACGTTATGTCAAAGTGTGCCCAGTAGTAAGGAAAACATCCAAAATTACATAAAAAGGTAAGCACCAATAAAATTTTGTAACTGGAAACACAATTTTAAAATGCATATTTTCGGTAGGTAATTTCGCTGCAGGCCAAATGCAATAGATAAGCTTTTGTAAAGCTGCAAGCTTTCATTACAAATGTGTCCGTTTTCACAAAACGATTCATGTGTAAACATGCGACACAACGTAATAAAATTGTATTCGAAAATGTCGTTAAACATCATCTAAAGGTACTTTATCTCGAGATTTCCGTTTACGTTTTCTTTCCATTTTTGCGCTTTTCACAATATTTGCAAATATTGACGCGCGTATACGTATTATGGGAACATCAAAGAGGTTTGTTTTATTTTTATAGTTCAATGATGTATACGGCATATTTACACCCCCGATAAAAGCGTTTTATTACTTTATACGCACGTTCAGATTTTGTTACCTTTCCGAAAACAAAACGTGTTCATTCACAAATAAAATTCGAGTGAAAGGTTGGGAATCCATCGATCGTTCCTAAATTCCTTTTCAATTTTTTCCAGATTACGTGAAAAATGGAAGCGAGAGAGAGGTTTATTTTTAAATTAATCGAAAAGGATAATATGAAAGTTTAAGCGTGAAAATCAACTTTTTATTCGACAGCTTGTTTGGCACGGTGTTTGATATTAAATCGACTTTAATGGCCTTTTAAAACGATAGAACCCAGTTTACGATCCACTTAGGATTTTCAGTACGGGCCCATTGGTAATTAACTTAGGTATTTATTAAGACTTAAAAAGATTAAATAATTATTGTCGTTGCGAAAATGGAATTACACTTTAGTACCTTAATATCACAATTTGTTTAGGGGTTTCAACGTCATTCTGAATCAAAGGGGTGGAAAAACGTTGTAATTACTGAAAATAGGCCTATCTAACTTTATTATTTATCATCATTAAATGCGATTTATTTCAAGCTCTTGTAGAGATTTAGGGTATAATACATTTTCCACAACTAATTATGTCGTTTTCTGATTACTTTGGGAACCAACCATTTTTAATAATTTTGAATATAGGTACCTACTTGTCTATTACGCAGTTATCCAGCTGCTGATATCTTTTTAAAGTAAAGGGATTTCAGTGGGCTTATATTTGGTTAAACGTGTGGCGCAGTTCAGTTGAAGCTGGACTGTGGTGCTAGGGTCCCTGGTTCGAATCCGGGTTCGGGCATGGATATTTTGTAAATGTATAGTGGGTTGGGTTGGTAGAGCAGCCTTGGCTGAAACCCCGCCCACTCAAAAATAAAGGCAAAATAAATAAATAAAATAAATAAATTCTGTTTCTCTATTAATGACGTAGAATTTCTGTAAATGTTATAAACAAAAGAAAATATTCACACAGTAATTTACTGAAAGGACGAAGAAGCGTAATCACATTTGCAAGGTTGAATTTTTTCGGAAATATTAAAACCCAGATGTCTCGTCGTTTAGTTGCAACTAAAGCAAATTAATCAAATTGGGGTTAATTAACTTTTTATTTAACTAATTTTTTGCTTTAGTGCAGAGATGAGATGGGTTTCAGACAAAGAATAATTTTATTGTGGGTTTTTTTTGCTAAGGTTTGGTTGAAATTGTAATTTAGTAGTGTGTAATTAAATGTTTGACATTAATGAACTTCTGACTGATATCCAACTTTAAAGCTCGCTTTGTACTTTAATTTTTTTCGAATCCCCCTCCCGGCGGAGTTGTGCTTATGGGCGGATGTACATACGAAAAGGATATTTTTGCGGTTTTACGGTTATATCTTGTAAAATACTCACAATATCGAATACATTGTCCCATTAAAAGTTTTAGGGCATTAAATTCTGCATGGACCGCCAGAAGTTGAATAAATTTTGCATATATGTGAAGGACGTGTTTACACTATTTTAAACATGGTACCATACCGCTCATTTGTACTAATATTGAAACACCATTCTTCAACAATAAGGGATGATTATAGACCGGGAGGCAGCGTACATAGTAACTAAACCATAAGCGACAAAAAATTCGACAATACAGGCTGAAAGTACGTTGAAAACTAATAATAAAATCACTCGTCTGCCAGTCGTAAGTGGCAGCATTAACTTGGGGCGGCGCTGAATAGGTGACTTCTTTAGGTGATCAACTAAATTACCAAACTATAAGGGTCACGGAAAAGATTTGTATCAAGAAATCCCATTTTTTCCATAGTTTTCAAATATGCTATGGCAGACGATTTCAAGTGCAGCGTTGGTAGCGAAAGACGCCCTCCAATGTAGGGAAAAGCACCCCTGAAGTAAACCATGAGGACCGTATAAAAATTATACATAAAAAATTCCTCTTTTTGTCACTACTTTAAAATATATCCTGGCGATATTAAGTGTAGCTTTAATAGTGGCAGACGTCTTAGAAGTTAAGAAATTTAGGTATAGTAAATCCCAGCGAGTGCGAGCGTGTGAGAGATAAGCGCGCGAGAGATAGCGATAGGATACTGACTACTGAGATCTTTCAAACCATTTGATTCTAAACTTCTGATTCACATAGTTCCATCCACTTCAATCAAACGGATTGTAGAAACTCAGACATTATTCGGTGGCATTCGCCCAAATTGCGATCAACTAAACCATGAGGACCTTACACAAGTCATACATCCGGTAAATGCGTGGGAACCCGGTAACGCATTACCCTGCACGTTACACACATCAACACCCAAATTCACGAACATCTCTCGAAGATTTATGAATTTCTGTGTGTTATTGGAAAAGAGACCTACTTCCATCTATACCTTGATGGTAGCGTCAATTTTACATTTCCCAAAGCAATAACAGCAATATCCATATCGCAAGCGCTAATAATGAATTCGCTACTTGTTGGTAGTTTACCAAGATGGTAAATTATTCGAGAATCTACCTCTTAGTGGCTGCAGCACAATTCAATTTTTACCACATCATCTTCCCTTGTCACAAATTTATAGCACTTATCTTCATATGTGGCAAACACAACTTTCCTTTCAAGTAAAGCGCAACAGGTCTTTTTTGCCTATGAACGGTATAAAAATCTATAAGAGACGCTTTGAGCTATCATTGCGAAGTAGTTTTATGAAATTTGCAGGCTGCTTCTGAGTGGAAAGAGAAATTGAGTAGGATTGTAATCTTTCCTTATTTTGATCCCAACGATCATGTTCTGCGTCCTTCATGAAAGGAGTAACTGTCTGTCAAAAGTAAGATGTACTTCTCTCGCTGACACAGCACAAATCTTGCCGAGGATGTGTTCAGAAAATCGCTCAAAGGTTTACCGGAGATCTTTTAAAAGATGCAAAAAAAATAATCCGTCGATTAAAACAACATTTACAACTGGCGATGGACTAGGAGCACTTGAAGAAATCATACTTCCGAAAAAGTTTCAGCAAAACAAACTTGTCGATTTTAATCATCGACCCATCAATGTTGCGTAGAGACAACGGAACTGGAGTCAGAGGATAGTTTAGAACGAGCTGAAGATCTATCTTCTTTTCTCTTCAAGTTTTCTGTTTCTCAGTCTGAGAAGAATTCAAGAAATACCGACAATCTTATCGCGAAATAAACAATTTATTATTTTCCCTAATTTAATTCGTTTGGTAACTCCAAGCGGTGCGTAAATCTATAGCTATCTCTGTTCGTTGTGCTCTCGCGCGCTTATCTCTCACACGCTCGCACTCGCTGGGATTTACTATACCTAAATTTTTTAACTTCTAAGACGTCTGCCACTATTAAAGCTACACTTAATATCGTCTGCCAGGATATATTTTAAAGTAGTGACAAAAAGAGGAATTTTTTATGTATAATTTTTATACGGTCCTCATGGTTTAGTTCAGGGGTGTTTTTCCCTACATTGGAGGGCGTCTTTCGCTACCAACGCTGCACTTGAAATCGTCTGCCATAGCATATTTGAAAACTATGGAAAAAATGGGATTTCTTGATACAAATCTTTTCCGTGACCCTTATAGTTTGGTAATTTAGTTGATCACCTAAAGAAGTCACCTATTCAGCGCCGCCCCAAGTTAATGCTGCCACTTACGACTGGCAGACGAGTGATTTTATTATTAGTTTTCAACGTACTTTCAGCCTGTATTGTCGAATTTTTTGTCGCTTATGGTTTAGTTACTATGTACGCTGCCTCCCGGTCTATTAATTATATTTCCAAATAACAACATTTATACGTAAAAGTATAGAGAAAAGGGAAGAAAAATTTACAGGCGTTTAATTCTCTTTGGAGCGCTCGGCACCTCAAAGCTCCATATATGCAGTCCAGATCTTGTTCGACAGCTGGTTTGTCAATTGCGGCTGGTTACAGGAAGTTAGTGCAGGAGTTTTCCTTGCAGTAAACATAAACAATTGGGCACTTAATCCCAGCTTTCCGACCAACCACCTGCACACCCCTTTTGTTGCATTTGCAGAAAATTGTGGAAAGAAGGGACTGTGGAGCTGGTACCTTGGACGTAGGAACGGGGTTAAAAGCAAACTATTTGTACAACTTCGATATATGGGAACGAGTGGTCCCAAAATATGCGTCTGGTCTCATTCATTGCAGAATTTAATACTCTAAAACTTTTAATGGGACTATGTTTTGCGTATTATGAGTCTTTTACAAGATCTAAGCCCTTTGTGTAGGCACATTTTTAGCCCTTTCTCGCCCCCCACCTCTTAAACACAGCTCCACCGGGAAGAAGGGTACTAGGGTAGTCATATTGGGCAACAAATGAAGCTATTAAAACAACAAAACCTTTTATAGTGTTACAGGTCCATTTTTAATTTAGTTTTGCGTTATTTATTTTGGTTTTTAGGTTAGGAATTTGTTTATTTTGTTTTGAATTTCATCTCATAGGCGTACCAATTTTCTTAAATTTCTTCTTTTGATTTCTTCGCTTCTTTCGATTCTTGCCCTCTTCTTACAATTTTATTGTATTTACCTTTTCACGCTTTAAACGCTTCTTCTTTCCTTACTGGTTTCACTTTTCTAATTTTCGAAGCTTATGTGTACTCTTTTATTCAATGTTACGCCTCTGATTCGTTTCAGGGCTATCTGTTGGTATTTCGTCTAAACTACGCTATTCTTTCCCGCTCTTTTCAAAAATCTATTCTTCTTTTCCCGCTAACTTTTTATGTTCCTTAATTATTGGTATTACTGTTCGTTTTTTTCAAAATCTTCTACGTTTCGTTTTCCGTTTTCGATAATTGTAATTTTTCTGTAGTGTGCTTGTGAGGTGCGAAATTTTTATAGCCGCTTTTATCCAAAAATTTTTGGGATATTACCCTCTTAAAAGTCACCCTACTCAACAAAAAGGATTTAGTATCCGTCCTTTTAAACCCTATATTGGGGATCAAGAGTAGTGGAGAGGCGCACTTGTGTTTCCGAGTACAATCAATATAAATATTTTAACTCTTGCTCGCCGGATTTCAACCCCTTTTGTAAGTATCCGTGTTGTTCAGTGTCGTTTCTATTTTTTTGTTGCCTTTTTAGGATCCGAGCTTTAATTTACTACCACCCAATTATAGCACCCAAAATATTATATTGTTTCTACATTTAAGGCCCACACCATCTAGTAAGTAGCCTTTTCGTGATAGTTTTGCTTTGTAATTTTAGGTCTTGTTTTAGGGCCTTGTATTTTTCCCCTTCTTATTTATTCTACCTGTACCGTACTGCTTCAAACTCTTCGTCTTCCGTCGTTCGTCGTCCGTCTTCAGTCTTCTCTCGATACCCTCAAATTTTTTTCCATTTGATCCCTTCTACCCTCTCCCGTATCCTTATTTTCCCCACACTTAGCCACTAGTCTACTCACCGAGTCTGCCGAACAACCGCTGGACAACTTCAGGAGCCAGGAAAACAGCTAAGCACCTTCCAATTCACCGTTATTCACATATGATTGCCCGTTAAGTTTAATTTTTAAAAAAACCATTAATTCATTAATTCAGTCATCTTACCATCCGTTTAATTAATTATTTTAGTCTCTTTTGTGTCTTACTGTGAGACGAGATCTCGTTCCGTGATTTTTTTTGCTTTAATTCCCTGTTATCGTTCCACTGCCATTTCTCATTCACCACCATTCGCCCTACAATAAAAATATTCCTATTTCACTACTTTTCTCTATTTTCTCCTCCTTATTTGTCTTGCATTTCCAGATCACCAGGAGCAGGGTTCTAGTTTTTCCTGTACGGCCAAATTAAACAAAAATTAGTGGTGCCTACATTCTCCGAGCAGTTTTTTTCAGTTTCGTCGAACCCCCCCATACCACCGAGAGCAGCTGGAGCCGTAATGCTAGATTCTTCCCTTCCTTCTAAATTTTCTTCGTCACAATAGGAATTACATCCCATTTCGGATTTTAATCCTACTGGCCTAATTAATGAGTCAGTTTGTCGTAACGGTTTAAGACTCGGACTCTCACGGGCTCCGGAATTTCTATGGGGCCGCTGCCACTGTAGGAGGAAAAAATATCTCAAAGATAGTGTAAAACATTCTTTAAAAGGATCATCTCCGAAAAATTCACCCCGAAATAGTCACTTTCGGAACATTCGTCCCGCGTAAGCACTTGGTAAATTTACCCCCGAAATACTCGACCTGGAACTGTCGGCAGATTGCCTCTTAATGAAAATTCGTCCCTGCTAGTACATGCGCTCGCCAAGAACTTCCAACAAAAGGAAAATGTAGATTCAGAAGAAACTTGCTCTCGAAATAAGTTCCCTTCTATTTCTACGACACATTCCCCACGATTCGCCGGATTATTCACTCGCCAGACAAGAATAATGTAACTTTTGAACAGTTTGACCCTGTATGAGAAGTCTTATCCATTGCGACTCAGAACTAAACTTAATGTAGATGTAAAAAATACTGCCCTACATTCTCACCAGGAGGCGAACGGAATTTACCTGGCGTAATTTTTGTTTTGGCAAACATCCCGAACGTGAATTCTCATAGGCGCGATTGCTAGAGCGTAAATGTGAGATTGATCACAGTTTCGATCATGGTATTTGAATTTGAAACAAATGTGCTTTAATTTAAGAACCATTTTTATTGCTTAATTTTGTTTAAACAATCACGTAGTGGTTTTATTGTTTATTTAGAAAGATAAGGTACATTTGGAAATAATGTTTTGTTAAAGTTATCTCATTTAAATTCGGTCGTTGCGATAAGAAATTTGTTATCGCTGCGTAAGCTGATTACTTTGAAGATAACTTGATTTTACCGATAAGATAACACAGGTGTTTAATTTCGAAGTAGAGGAGAGGTGGAAACTGAGAGAGGGGCGGTTGTTTTAAGTAAGCAGAGGAAGACGTGAATCGTGCCTGGTTGGGTGGTGGACAATAAACTGTTGATAAAATTGTTCAATCGATCTCTTGTGCGTGGTACCTGTTTATAAGTCTTTTGCGCTTCTCTTTCTTTCAGTTTATTAATTGATTTTATCATTCCGGTGATATGTTACTTTTCAATTTTAATAATTTGTGATGCCCCAAGGGATGAAATACTCAATTACGCACACACGTTCTCGATTTTAAATAGAAAAATTCATCAAGGGAGTCTGCCTATAATTTTTATAGAAATTATACTCCATTTGTGCGTCCTTGCTTTCTAATTATTTGAGACATTTTGTAGACACTTTGCAAATGCGAGCAATGCGGAAGAATTGACGAATAGTTTAAGACAATTAACCTTATTGTCGGCCGACTCCATGGTAAACTTCAAATCAATTGCCAACAAAGGTTACATTTCAAATACTACCAGTATTAAGCAGCTAATATTTCAGGTGAATTAAAGTAATGCGCCGACATATCTAATTAGTGTTGTAGCTAATCACTCCATGTCAAAAAATATTCGAACGATGCCAGTTTAAGACGGCATACTACGATTGTTGTGAGGGTTTCTTTCCCATTTTCACCGAAAACGGAGTGTGCTACACTTTCAACTCGAGACACTACGAGCGGAAGGTTCCATGGTAAAAGTCTGCGGAAACTAACAAAAGAAGAAAAGTGAGTGTGTTTTAGGAGCAATGAGGAATTGCCACCATTGAATTTGCGAAAAATTCTAGAAACCGACATGAAGTGGTCGCTCAAATTCGAAGTCTTGCAGACCGAGGAGGACATAAAGTTCCCCGTAAGTCGCCTTTATTTTTGTGTTTATAAAATTAGACACGAGTAACGCATGTGTTGTGCAGGGTGCAAATAATCATTTTTAGGTATATATACACGACTCTAACGAAATTCCTGGCTTAGACATGCAACCACAGATCATTTGGAATTTCAAGGTTGACAAAGTCGCGTTCTCGATGAAACAGACTTACACCACCGACGACACGCGACAATTGTCAATCAGACAACGACACTGTATATTTTCGGATGAGGTTAAATTAAAGATCGATCACATGTACACTTACACTGCCTGCACGCGACAGTGCCGAATGGAGAATGCAAAAAAGTTTTGCGGGTGCGTGCCGCACTTTTATGCAGAAATGGGCCAGTTCAGGCATTGTAAAATCAATGAACTTGCTTGTATCGCCGATAATATTAACGATATAAAATCCACCGAGAGATGCCCGTGCAAGTTGGGGTGCTACAACACGGTATATGACGTAGAAAAGTTTATTGTGCATAAGTAAGGGATTTACTATTGTTTATCAATACCTATAGGCACTTAGGATAACGTTCGGTTTACAGCACCGAGGACGGCGAAGACAATAGGAGGAGAGAGTTGGAAGTTGAATTTGTCTCTTGGCCAATGGTTCGTTACAAACGGGAAGTTCTTTTCGGATGGGTCGATTTACTTGGTAATGACCGAATCACTTTTTATGGCTAATCCTTTGCTTATTTCGCTTTTTAGTTGAGATTTTTCATTCTTTTGTTAGAAACCCGCTTTGCACCGCACGTTGTTTGTTTCATAGGCACATTGAACACTAAAATGACATTATTTCAAAATGTGCCTTTTTGCACAGAGTTGGTGGTATTGTGCCTCACATACGAATACTATAATATGCCAATAAGATATAACTGTTTGTATCGGTTATATGTCTCCGTCAAGATTTTGATTATCAGAAAATCGCATCACTTTACTTTTCTCAAACTTTAAATTAGGTATAGACAATTTATATGTATTCTGCATTGAGGATTTAAATCTTTCATGTGTTAATTCGTGATAACTACTACCCTAGGGTCAGTGTCTTTGTCAAGCAATAATTTTACATTGAAAGAATTCGCTAAAGCAATGCACAAAAACCCTTAGGTTAAGTGTCTTTAAAAAACTATTAAAATTTCAAATAGCAAGGCGCACCAAGTAGCTCTGAGTTTTCTTTAAATCGAATCATTCGTTTTTTTCGGTTTCTAATTACATAGAAAATATATAGTTTTCTAATATATTATAGTATTACCATTGAACAAATGCTTATTCAATGGTAGGTAATGTCCAATAATTTTACAACATTTTCATTTGATAAATAACTTTATGACAACTTTTTAGCTGACAAACATTTTGATTTTGATAATTTAAAGGTAAGAAACGTCAAGTTGAAAACGCCGTTAATTCACCCATTTGATACTGTTTCCTTTTTTGTTTAGATTCTGCAGACTTGAAAATAAGGTTTTTCTGCAACTGTCAAAAAAACCTGTCATTTTCTGACGAATTTTATAGCACGAAGTACTAAATGTCTAAACTAAACGATTAATTAATAAGTATTGTTGATCCTAGAAACGTGACCGAAAACGTGAAAACAGTGAAAAAAAGTATTTCGCGCACGGACAAAGTTGTATCTAAACAGCAAATTTGATGCATAATTAGTTCAGTTGTAGAAAAAATGTATATAAAACACTAGCGCGAAGATATATTTCGCGCATTTCACTGATGTTTTAACTCGGCATCGCCTTATCAAAATAGCTTCAGTCTCAATGCACGAAATTACACTGCGCTCTAGTTATACAGTGTGTCCCAGATCGCGTGGGATTGCATGGGTAACTTTGTTATTATTAAAGATACAGAATTGGTTAAATGGGCAATGTTTTGCAGTTTTAGATACTTATTTAAAATTTCCTTTTGGAAATTCAAAATGTCGCATAGGTTCGACGTAAATTCAAACAAACTAAAATTGGTCATTTCCTTTAATGTCTTATATCATTGAAAGTATAAGAGATATAAAAAAAGCTTATATAAAAGTGACTGTCTTTGATACGCTTCATTTAGAATTGATGTCAAAAAAAAATTCAAGATGGCTACCTTTGAGGAACATTTACCAACTTCCTAAAGTTAAATAGGCGCTATATCGGATTTTTAGATTACATGATAGATTTTTTGATTCTCTTTTCAACAAGCCATCATAACATAAGATTGAAAATAAGATACCAGATATATCAACGGTTTTTATATTTTAATCAAGTAGGCTGTGATGAATTAAAAAAAACAAAACAAAATCTATTCGAGCCAACAAAACAATGTAAATAATTATTACATCAGATGTTTAAAAAAACAGGGGCGCACTCATGAGAAGGGGGTTTGGGCATTAAAACTCCCTCCAAAATTTTATATCTAGTAGTCCTAGAAAAATTTTGATTTTAATAACATCACTTATTGACTATCTTATTATCCATACTTACATACCTAAAAATGGTGGTATAACTACAAACTATCCCCTCGAAAAAGTGTCATGCCATTATCCAGTTTAACACATTTCAAGACACTTTGCTTTATTTTACACAATGTATTACCATTGATGCATTGTCCCAGGTCACATTTTGTAGGTGAGTAGGGCGGTTTATCCGCAAGAATATCGAAACTAACAGTTTTACCAGTCCGAGTATATGGACAGATGAATCTTATTTTTCTAACTGCGGAGTGTTCAAATCGACATAATGAACAAGTACTCGTCACAGGAAAACCTACATGTTGTAGTTTCACGCCGAAATCAAATAATATTTGTTTAAATTAATGTATTTTATGGCAATTCTCCAATAAACTTCCTTAAAGGATTTTTCTCGACAACGTATGTTTCGAAGATAGGGTTGGTTTATGCTACCTACCAACAAGCTGGCTGCTCAGGTCACAATTCACGAATTATGTACAGTACATTAAATTATAAAAGTAAGTACTTAATTAAAAAATAAAAGTAAAGTGGAACTAGCTACCACTACAATAATAATAATAATCATCAATGGCAACACGTTATGCCTAAACTAAACTGTCTTGAAGTGTGTTTCACTAATAATGGCCAGTATTTTAAACATCTGGTGTAATTATTTTCATTGTTTTGTTGCCTCGAATAGATTTTGTTTTGTTTTTTTTATTCGTCACAGATTACTTAATTAAAATACAAAAACCGTTAATATAACTGGTATCTTATTTTCAATCTTATGTTATAATAGCTCGTTGAAAAGAGAATTAAATAATCTATCAAGTAATCTAAAAATCCAATATGGCGCCCATTCAACTTTAGGAAGTTGGTAAATGTTCCTCAAAAGTGGCCATCTTGAATTTTTTTGTTGACATCAATTCTAAATTAAGCGTATCAAAGACAGTCACTTTTATATAAAATTTTTTTTATATCTCTCATACTTTCGATGATATAAGACATTCAAGGAAATGACCAATTTTAGTTTTTTTTAATTTACGTCGAACCTATGCGACATTTTGAATTTCCATAAGGAAATTTTAAATAAGCATCCAAAACTGCAAAACATTGCCCATTTAACCAATTCTCTATCTTTAATAATAACAAAGTTACCCATGCAATCCCACGCGATCTGGGACACACTGTATAAACTACTTTCGTCTCTAAAAAGGTCGAAGAAAATATGATTTTCCTCTCTAGTGAGGAAAGTGAAAAACAATTGCTGCGTTAATGTTAATATGACATTTAAAATTGCAACATACCCGTATCTAGCTTGGTATGTGTCAAACTTCCTTATTGTATACGATAATTTTTCAATTTTGATTGTAGTTTCAGAAAAAAATTATGTGTAAAACTTGAGAAGAAAGTGTCGCATTTCTATTCGTTGACAGTTTTTCTCGTCTAATTGCTAGGCAACAGATTTTCATTACCTTAACAACCCAAATTTACTCTGTAACATACAAACCTCTTGTGCAATTATAAGTGAAAATCGCAGGAATAATCTCCTTCGCACTTACAAAAAACTGCTGAGATCCTGCAATTTCTCACATGAATTTAGTATTTACTATTAATTGAAAAGTTCGTTAAAAATTTTGGCAATCTTCAAGGTTTCAGAACATCATACATTTTTTTTCAATCACACTCTTCTTGCATATACTACAAAATCCTAAAAATCGTTATAGAACTTTCTTATCGTCTTGTTGAAGTATAAGTAACAAACCGTATTGCAATGAAAAAAAAACGCAAAAATCGCTATACGCACAAGTACGATTTTCAATTTTCTGGCCGATTTGGATTCTACAGGTCAAAATCTAAAAGAATGGCCGATATAGGTGAAGATCGCTTCTTGGAATCACTTTGTAATCTTCAGAGTCTTGGTAGAATCTTCCCATAATTTTAAAACAGCCATGTCCCTTATTGTATTTCTTTTAATACTCGTACAATAGGGGACGCAACTTCGGCTTCGGCAGCCGCCTCGCCTCGACTAGCCAATTTATACAATAGAGACATACTACTTGAATTAAATGAATAAACAGCTAAAATCTTCTCACTATATGTCTTTTCAGAATCCTTTGTTACGTTTTTAGAATCCTCAAAACCTCTACATCCTTTTGAACCATTATAATCCTTAAAATATTAGTAGAAACGTATAAAAATCCCTCGAAAAATCCTCATAACATCTTAACATGGTAAAATATTTTTAGAACTTTCCTTACAATCTTTAGAACTTTCAGATATTTGGAATTTTTAGAATGTCATTAGGATCTCGACGGAATCTTGATTGAATTTCCACAAACATTTCTCAGAATCTTTGGAACTTTTATAATCTTCAGAAATATTAGACTCGCCTATAAGCTTGACTAGAATAAGTATGCCCACACCATGACTTAATAACTATTATTATTATAAAATCCTTATAATGGCCATACAATCTTACAATCTTTTTGGAGTCGTATTGAATTCTTCTCAGATCCTTAGTATCATCGTAGGATTTTAAAATTCTCATATAATCTTTGACTATCTGTGTAATCTAGAATCGCTTCAGACCTCTTTTACATGTTTTTAGATTTCATATCAAATCTTCTATATAGTGCGGGGGTTATAGGTTTCAACCTTGCATTTTGTGATAACTTTATAAAACTTTCAGAGGATATTCTAGACACCCTAAGGTTCAATTTCAGCTATGCCGCCACCCCCGCAACCCCGGACGGCACTTGCTATAGCGGGTTTCTTAAGTGCAAGGTAGCATTTCAATACCCGCCCATAAAAACTTTAAGCAATTGCGCATTATGCCATTACCATCCATATTCATTTTCGTGACACTATTGGAAATTCATAAAAATAAAGCTAAATTTGTTACAAACGACCTTGCTCACTCTTACAATACCCGTGGAGCAAAAAATATTAGGACACCATATTGCAGATTAGAGATATCAAAAAAAAATAGTCTACGTGTAGAGTTTTACAATATTCTTCCCGAATCTACAAAAGCGCTTAACTACATTAATTTTAAAAAGAATGTTAAGAAGCACATGCTTGAACATTGTTTCTCCTCCGTGCGCGAATATTTAAACACTAAGATGACTGTTTGTTCCTAGATGTTAGATGTTTTACGTTTAGTTAGTCACATATTATATTGTTTGGTCCATCGGTAATTTTATTGTGTATTTTATATTATGTTTGTATGTAGAACTGGACGTGTCGTAAACCAGATGGTATAGCATGACGAATAAATATTATTATTATTATTAAATGGGTCAAAAATGTATATCCAGGGTTTGTTTTGTACAGAGTGAGCAACAAAGATTGAAGCGTGCCGCTTCAGCTAAATTGGCAATGTGCCGCTCATAGCATATGCTGATTTGATACAAGATACGAAATACGAATAGACGCACGTCACTGTGACAGCGCAGAACGTCATTTTCGTATACAACTCCATACAAAGAAGGTAGTTTTGATATTAATCGGAACAAGCGGTGATGACGCACGCTTCAATCATTGTTGCTCACACTGTACTTTCTTACATCTAGGAAGGTTGAAGGGAATTGTCAAATACCCAGGGAGAATTTATGTAGGGTATTTTACGTGGTTTACCTATTTTTAAGGCGCTTTTAACAGTGCGGGCAGTAAAATCGTGACGGAGACCTCTTTTGGTTGCTCTATTGAATATTATATAGTTAACTATGCTCTAAAGTATTTATTGAGACATTAAAATGCTGAAAGGAAAGTTAACGATAACTATGACACTAAAATTATTGAACCCTATCTTGAGAACACTCGCCTCCGCAGGCGCACAATTCGGTGCAGGGCATGTCGGACTTGGCACAGCTGCATATTTGTGTGCAACCTTTCTTAAGAAAGGCGGTAAGTAGGCGAATAGATGAATTTACAATTGAATCCATATTCAACAAACAAACTTAATCTACATACATTCGCAGGACATGTATGGGGACATTGCCTCCTGGCGCAACAGCAACTTCCGGATCCATGTGATTAGGGTTGGAGAAACTGAGTGAAGATCAAGAATGGGAGCCTGTCTGGACTTTAAAACCTCCAGTTCCAGAAGCTTTTGTAATCTTAGTAAAATGTGGATGTAAGAAAGGTTGCACACAAAGGTGCAGCGTTGTCAAGTCCGATGTGACCTGCACCGATATGTGCTACTGCAGAGGCGAGTGTTCTCAAGATAGGGCTCAATAATTTTAGTGCCGTAGATATTGTTAACTTTCCTTTCAGCATTGTAATGTCTCAATAAATACTTTAGAGCATAGTATAATATTCAATAGAGCGGCCAAAAGAGGTCTCCGTCACGATTTTACTGTCCGCACTAGGGAATGCAAAACCGGGATTGCGGGATCCCACAGCATTTTTGCGGGATTAATCCCTCACATAAATGGAGCGGGATCCCGCGGGATTTGCGGGAATGAGGAATTTGTCGACCAAGGGGACGACTCTGTTTACTTTGTTAATGAAACTGATAACGGCGATGATTTTTGAGGCACTTTAGAAGACTTTTTGTGCTTTACAGATAAGGTTTTTTTGAGTTCTAAGTTAGGCTGAAGGTACTTTTTTGTTAAATATTGTGATAATTAGCGATTTATTTTAATACAGAAGTTAACCGCACAGAATTGCTTATTTGCCAATTTATTTAAAGTTTTGCGAGATCCCACAAATTCCGGGATCCCGCGGGATTAACATCTAACAATCCCGCAAATACCGGGATTGAGATTTTGCTGCGGGATTGCATTCCCTACTAGAAACCAATTTCGAAAGAAAATTCAAAGGGCTGTAACTTTTGAACTAGTAGCCCAATCTTGGAACAGTTTGAAATTATGAATTCTACAGGCCACATTCTATAAGAAAAGTTTTTTTCCGTGTCGAACTGAGACAATTTTTTTTGAGGGCCTCAAAAGAAGGCAGTGTAACCTTCCTTTTTTACCAAAAATCGACTGCACCAAAATTTCTCGGGAAAACACTTTTTCTTATTAATTTTGGTGCGTAGAATCCAAAACAATTCCTACTTTTTCGATCAGACTTCTCGATCAAAAGTTATAGACTAGAAACCAATTTCGAAAGAAAATTCAAAGGGCTGTAACTTTTGAACTAGTAGCCCAATCTTGGAACTGTTTGAAATTATGGATTCTACAGGCCACATTCTATAAGAAAAATTTTTTCCGGGTCGATCTGAGACAATTTTTTTGAGGGCCTCAAAAAAAGGCAGTGTATAACCTTCCTTTTTTACCAAAAATCGACTGCACCAAAATTTCTCGGAAAAACACTTTTTCTTATTAATTTTGGTGCGTAGAATCCAAAACAATTCGTACTTTTTCGATCAGACTTCTCGATCAAAAGTTATAGACTAGAAACCAATTTCGAAAGAAAATTCAAAGGGCTGTAACTTTTGAACTAGTAGCCCAATCTTGGAACTGTTTGAAATTATGAATTCTACAGGCCACATTCTATAAGAAAATTTTTTTCCGGGTCGATCTGAGACAATTTTTTTTCGGGGCTCAAAAAAAGGCAGTGTATAACCTTCCTTTTTTACCAAAAATCGACTGCACCAAAATTTCTCGGGAAAACACTTTTTCTTATTAATTTTGGTGCCTAGAATCCAAAACAATTCGTACTTTTTCGATCAGACTTCTCAATAAAAAGTTATAGACTAGAAACCAATTTCCATCTTACCTTTAATGAAGAAATTGCCAGCATAGGAATAGAGCTTCCAGCAATTCACTATAAAACAAAGAAAAAAACACTCGGTTTGAAATGACGATGGCTTGAGGAGCCAAAACATATTTGTCTTCCGATCCACGATCGACTGCGTTAATTAACGTGTTGCAATCCGAAATCAATTCAGTACTCATTAATGGCCTTCAAAACTCAAAGAAAATTAACATTGGTGTAATCTCGAAGAACACAAATTGATTCATTACGGGGATTCAAAGAAAAATTAACATAAATGACCCATCGACGCTGTTTGTGCTGTAGGTCTCCCATAAGGTGCTGACTTCAAAATTACTTCAACACTCTTAAGGATGCACCAATAATAATTCGCCACTACCTAATAAGATATATACTTATTATCGAGATAGAAGGGTGTACAAGGAGTATTTCTTTCCTTAAAAAGCAAAAATCTATTTAATATAATACGTTTTCCGTTCTCAAAATAAATATATGCACTGACCTCTACATAACAATATTGTAACAAACCATTAATACCTTCGCCACTGCCATTTTTTACTATACTTAACTTTAAAAGTCCTTTTTCTTAATCTCATTACTTATATTCCCCAGTTATCTGTCATTATACTAATCTCAAATATATTAATGACAAAACTTCATGTCCGGAGAGTCTTTTAACCTTTTTATTTTTTTATATTTGGAGCATGAACTTTTAAATTAATTCCCACGTGAGAATAAATTCCAATTAAATTTAATAACATAAAGAGAAATTTATTTGAACATTTCACATTCTTTGATAAACTAACATCCTCTTTGTTGCAATTTGCAACGTGAATACTCGTAAATTAAAGTACTCGGCCCCAGAGCAGCCTCGTACTTCAATATTTCCTCGCTAGTAATGTGTCACTTTCGTGACTTTTATGTAAATAACCATGTTTCAATAACGAACTGGAACAAGCCTCTCCCGAAAAATGTATTTTCCACATTTTCAAACTTGTTGAGCCGCTAATACTTACCTATACAGTGGGGTTTAGTATACTGTGAAGTAGATTGATGCTTCACCGCATATTGGTTTATATGCATACAATCCTAAAACATGTTGCGTAAGAAAAATCGCAGCCAGAAATTCGCAGAAAAGGGATTTTCACCAAGAGACCGATAATTAACCAAATTATCACTTATTAGCTCATTCCTTGTTCCACGTTTCATTAAATTAATGAAAGCTGTATTTGACTTATTAGCCTCGCGTTACAAGTCTTTCTAGGTATATTCAGGTTACACTCGGATGTGAAATGGCAGAAGTAATTAGTTTAAATCACAAAGAGTCACGAGAAACAGTTTAGGAAACGTTTGTTATTTCCGTTAAAGAATAGTATTTATGGATCCAAAGAAAGTTGATGTTTTCGGCGCCTTATGCGAGCACAAATTTTCTTCTTTATTAAACCACATTCTGTGTTAACTAGAAACGCAATTTTACGCACGTGCCGTACAAAAACATAAATAATTGTTATTAATAGTAGAAAGTTCGCACAAGCTGTTTTACCTAGTCGAGTGTGATTTAATTATAATATAATTAATAAACGTTTCAGTGTCTTTCGGCGGCATCGCGGGGCTCTTCTTGGGCTTCAGTTTATTATCCGGCGTTGAACTTATTTACTACTTCACCATGCGAGCTTGCTGCATGATTTACCGTGAGCCGAGAGAATTAGAAAGACTTCAGAGACAAGAGATAGTTAAACCCAAGCCTAATTATGATTTAAGCTTAATCCCTTACTTTGTAAAACCGCCATCGCCTAGTAGCGGAATCGGCATTGTGGCCGGAAACCACTATGGCAATAATTTGAAGCTGTACACAAAGCAGGTAGGATAATCTTAATATTGGCAAAGAAATTAAATCTTTTCCAGAAGGTTCAGCCTATCAAGAGGGAAAGCATTAAGAAACCGGGAAAAGGTATCCAGGCGCCTTTCGGCATTGAATTTCTACCGTAAACTTCTAAATGAATTTATTGACAAAAGTTTAAGTACAAGTTGTTAAATTGTGTGTGTAATTCATACTTCTTCGCTATTTACAATCTAGAAACAGAAGGAGCTAATTAACTATCAAGCTGTCTAAAGAACATAGATCCCTCTCACTTCTTGTAGGTACGGCATAATCAGTTCATTGTACTTGGACAGTACTTCATTCAGTATAAGTAATATAAAACTAGGCAAAATTAATATTATTAGGAAGTCTAGCGTCGTTTGTTTAAATAGAAATTGCACGGGTAATTATTAGATTTTTCGCAAACCACGCACATCTTGAGATTCCACGAAACAGGGTTTCAACCTATCATCGGTAAGTATACCAACTTCAGGAAAATACTTGGCACCGCTGTCAGAGATTCCTCATTTTACTTATCGGTAGCGTTAGGATTAGTGTAGCTGAAACCTTGAAATTGGCTTTGATCCATGGACTGCAGGATGTTCTTATCGATCGGCGTTAGTTTGGCCTTTTCGACGGTGAAGTTTTTGTCGAAGTACTGCGTGTCGAGTGGATGAAGCTGGAACAGAAGGATGAGGGGACGTGTTCGAGTTGAGCGATGGGATACACTTACCAGTTTCGGTTTGAAGGGCGGATCGAGCAATCGCGCTTCAAGTCGTTCCCAACTGATTGGTTTGAAGAATGGTTGGTCTTGGATGTCGCCGGATGGACACATTTTGTTACCTAGTCTCTTGTTCGCATCTTTTTCTAACAGCTGCAAGAAAAATAGGTGGTTTATTAGTACATACTAAACTGTCACATGTAAATGTTACACATTGGTTTCAATAAACTAAGTAGTTGAAACTTCGTTAATGGCAAATCGCAATCCTAATACTTATAGTTACTATCGTCAACTACAGACAGTAGGTTAGGTATCTACCTACATTTACCACTCAAGCTTTCCCTATCTCCCTACCCCCGTTACCCGTGTAGGGGCGGGAAAGAATAACCCTACCGCAGAGGGCACTGCGTGTCGTAAGAGGCGACTAAACAAATGCATCTCGGATTCATTCCCGAGTGATTGAAGGGTGGAGTGTTTGATGTTTTCAAATACCTCATTCGTTCGACTAGTGAAGGGAACGTGAAGGAAGGGCGTTTGCAGAGATTTATTAAGTCTCGTATCCGCGACTTTTCCTTAACAACCGATCACGGCTGGGTACGATACAATCACAGTTATCTTTTCCTACTGAACGAAACTTGTAACTTTGTACCCATATTATGAAATCATAAACATTTCCAATGTTAAAAACAATGGTTCCGCGATACTGTTGACAATTGACACTTGATATTCGAAAGTATTTTAACGCATCCTATATCCTATATGTAAGCCACTATTATAGGCGCTTTGTTTGTCTGTCTGTCCGGCGGGCAATATCATAATTTTGTTTGGGTAGGATCCATAACTGCCATTTTTTGTGACAAATTCAAACTATAATGTAGCGTCCCAAAACGCATGGAAAATTGCTATTCTGTCTTTTTAATCACAATGAAAGTACTCAACTTTTTGATTTCTGATATCATTTAGACAAGAAGAAGTAGAAATACTTTTTTGAATTATAGACAGAAATGAAAGCATGATTTGACTGATCAGAATAAAGGTGCTAGTTAAGTGGCCAAATCGAAAAACGACTCTGTTTCTTAGTTCTAACGGCATTTTATGAGCCATTTTGGCCACATGGTTTTTTAGATGTAAAAAAATGTGCTGAATCCGATTCTGGATGTTGCCAGGCCGAATTTTGCACTAGTTCACAAATACAGCACGATGGCGCCACTATCTATTGTATTGTGTACTATTTAGTATTAAATTGTTTTCCATAATTTATTACTTATATATACGTAAGAGTTGGTTAATTAACTTCATAGCTAGTTCGGAAAATGTAGGAAAATATATCCTGTGGTGATATACAGAGTGTCCCAAAAAAGCTGTGAATTAATTTAAATTAGGGTTTTACATTTTCCTCGGCAAATTTTGTTTGTTATTAAATTTAGTGCTTTTTAATAACCTATTTAAGTTTTTTCCAACTATATATATTTGTACTATTGTATTGTGTACTATTTAGTATTAAATTGTTTTCCATAATTTATTACTTATATATACGTAAGAGTTGGTTAATTAACTTCATAGCTAGTTCGGAAAATGTAGGAAAATATATCCTGTGGTGATATACAGAGTGTCCCAAAAAAGCTGTGAATTAATTTAAATTAGGGTTTTACATTTTCCTCGGCAAATTTTGTTTGTTATTAAATTTAGTGCTTTTTAATAACCGTTGGTAAATATTTAAGTTTTTTCCAACTATATATATAAATAAAAATTGCGTATTTTTTCCAATGAATTCAAATCTGCAATTAAAAAAACAAAACCATATCGCATTTTTCAGATGATAACAAAAATGTGACTTTGATATGGAACACCCTGTGTATTATTACATAATATGACAGGTTATTAAATTCTTTATAAAACCATATAGCAAAAATATTTTAAATACCCAACGTTTTCAAATTATTGACGATCTCCTAGGACCTAGAGAGTTTATAATTTTGCGGTGCCTATCCATCTGTCCCGAGATCTGTTCATTAGCACGATTCCTCGAAAACGAATAGACCGCCGATTATGATGAAATTTTGCATTTGGATTCTTTATTAGAGTTATAGATCGGAGTTCGTGAATTGGCAATGTACGTAAAAAAATAAAGATGGCCCTTTTGACATCTCCGTTAGTTATAAACCGAATTGCATGAAATTCAATATGGGCATAGTCGAGGGCATAGTTTTAGCCATATAATACGCAACGCCAAAAGTTGGACCTAATCAATTTTACATTCACAGTGCCCTTTTTGAATTGCAAACTTTTTTATTTATGAAAGTATTTAAATAAAACTTGATACATAGGCACTTGGAATAAAAGCAAATCTAACACCAGGTTCAAAATTTGGTTTTTCACATGCTGTAGCCACTACCTATAGTAGTATTTCAAGTAGTATTAACACAGACTAGTATATGTTGTCTGTGGTATTAAATGGCATTAAATGTAAATTAATTACATTAAGATAGCATTAACCACATTAAATTACATTAACTGAATTAACTTGAAATTAACTGCATTTACAGAATATATTAACTACATTAAAAGTTAATTTTGATTCATTAAGTACTATTTGTACACCGAATTAACTAGGTGGTTTACCCCTCGGTTCCCACCGACACAGTGCAGCGGCGCCACTTGCTACACTCGAATTGTTTATTTACCGCCCGCCAAGATACAGACTTTATATACAAAAAATATGATTACATTTTTGGGAGTAATGTTCAGAAGTAACTTATTTAGAAAACTGTCGGTTTACTTTTTCCATAAATCGTCTTGATTGAGAGCAAAACAATAAAACAGGTTAGCGCAATAATCGGTGCAAAATATCTAATCTTTAAACAGCCGGTATTCAGTTGCTATAAACTTTTTTAAAAAAATATTCCGAACATTTTGTAGATAAAGGTCTAAATTTATAAAATATAACATTTATATATTATTAATATAAAATTTTATTTTTCAAAAACAACTTGAGTTTTTTAGGCGGGCGCTCTTATGGAAATTTACATTTCCAGTGGGTGCAGTAGGTACCGAAGGGCGTAGAGTTGCATCTTCTCATGATGCTGTAGCCGGGGACATTTTGTACCATACATATTGTTTCGCAAATGCGATAAGGGACACTGAAGAATCGAATGATCAGACTAGTCCTCCTAAAAACTTGGCTTTAAATAAAATATGCTATGAACTAAAAGTGCACAAATATCTACAAGTGTCTTGGCGACTGCTTCAATCGTAAAAAAAATGAGCAGAATCATGAAGAAATTTAAGTTCCGTTAAAATTTTTGAACGAAATATAGGTAATACATTTACCGTCAGAATTATCTCTATATTGTTACCGTGTTGTCTGTACAATGTACCCAATATATAAGTTTTGCAATTTTCTGTGCCTCCTGTAGGTATGTTTTTTTAACACCTCAATCCGAAAAACTATGTAAAATGCGTCTGGCATAAAAATTTATATATTTGGCCGCCATATTGGCCGCCATTTTGAAATCAGCCAAAAATCAGCTTGGCAACATCCGAATTCGGGTTCAGCAGACATTTTTACCCTTATAAACGCACGTTTCCAAAATGGCTCATTAAATGCCGTTAGACTTGCGATTTATTAATTATGGCCACCCAACTATGCCGAAGCTGAGAAGTAAATTTAAATCCAATTCGGATGAAGTGTCCGGCATATAGACAGATAAACAGATAAGTTAAACGCTATTCCTGAACTTTCCAAATTATACTTACCAATAAAATTATAGAATTTGCTTCAGTACTCAAGTATCTAGGAATTAGCGGTTTCTCGTTGCAAATCGACCAAAATAGTTCATCCTCATCACATCCGCTGAAGGGCGACTGTCCAATTAGCATCTCGTATAAAAGTACGCCGTACGACCACCAGTCCACGCACTGATTGTAATGCTGCCCTTTAATAATCTACGAATAATTAATTATTATCGATTAAAGAATATAGAAAACTTACTTCGGGGGCCATGTAATCCGGTGTGCCACAGAAAGTGTCTGCCATCCTGTCCAAGAATATTTGCAATTTGCACATTCCAAAATCGGCTATTCGAACATGCCCGTCAAAATCGAGTAGAATGTTGTCGAGCTTTAGGTCTCTGTAACAAATTCGTATTTGAGGACTCTTAAAAAGCGACCGAATTTACTATTCTGCGATTGTGGGGTAAATTTGAAATGCGCGCACTTGACTTGGGTGAAAAAGGGTAAAACACTCCCACTATTTTAATTTTCAAAGCGCTTTTACATGCAAAACAACATGAATTTCTCAGTTCTGAGGAATTATAGCTTAAACATAAAGAAATGTTTTCCCCAAACGAAACTGCGATGAAAACCTAATTATAAGAGTTTGTACGATTTTCACAAGCTTTATGTCATTGATTTCTAGCTTTGCTAATAATTAATAAAGATTGGCGGTTTCAGTTCAATGCATTTATTGAATTGTACCTAATTAGGATTTTTTGCATACGAAAGTAACGTCTAGATGCGTAATTATAGGTCTGACAGATTTCTTTACAAGTGTAGAGGTACCTACGACTCATAATTATTCGCAATTTTCGAACCAATTTTTTATGAAGTAAAAAGAACAAGAGGCATGTTTTAAATCACCCTCGATCGATTCCTTAAGCAAAGGAATCGCTGCTTTTAGAAAGCATCCACTTTTTGACACTGATCAGTAGGTAGATGACTGATGATTACCTATGTGTATAATTGTCAACGTATGGTCGAGCCTTATTATGATGGAAACGAATTTTTATGCGCACTTTTCGTCTTAATGCTCAAGTTGAGCTGCTAAACTTCACTGTTGATGCTCATCATATTATTAACCTTTCTAATATCAAATGATCTTCCAATTTATGATTCTGTTTTTTTACTCACCATACCACCAGGGACACTTAAGTCCACACAAACGTAAAAATTCTATCTGCCAGTGATTTGTAGTTACAGACCATGATTTGTTTTAAAAATTACTTTATGAAGAACAATGTAAATAACTTGAAAACCACCAATTTTAGGGATAGGACAATGTCATATCAATCGAATCGAAATTTTCTCTAGAATTACTACCTGAAATTAAAAAAAGGGACATTCCAATTGAAAAAAACCAGTTGATCTTTTAAAAAAAACTAAAAACATTGTGAATATCCGTGAAAAATCATTCGAATAACCAGCATTTTTATTTACCCAAAATGTTATTGTTTTACGTCTAATAGTCACTAAGATATACAAAGCTTCAAAGCCCCCGCTTTAACTGTCAATTTTTTTCTTCAAATACAAATAAATATCTCTAAAACAGAGATGGTCATAGATATTGTCTGGTAAACTGACATTAATTTTCAAACAAGAATCTAAATGTGAAATAAAAACTGAGGGAATGCTGAGGGTTTCCAATTAATATAAGGAACTGGATACCTACTTCCGGTTGGAAGTATTAGAAAACTGTCATTATTTTAAAAAAAAGAGTAGTTTGTGGTCGAGAACCTTTGTGTGTACATTTTTTAAACGTATCTTTTCTACTTTCCTACAATGCTAATATTGTCCCTGACCCTGTATAGTGTTGTACTGACTATACTGAGATCTTTTGATATTTTACTCTCAATTTTTTGAACGTCATATTTGCTGTTGGGATCAAATACTTTCGCCGAACATCTTTCTAATGGCATAATCTAGAAACTTACAAAATACAAATATCAAAAATCAACTAAATTTCGTACATCAGTGAATTGCTGGTTCAAATTTGGGTTCAGGAATAGGAGAACTTAAAAATGTAGAAATAAAATAAAATATTTTTTAGCTGATTCAGTATTATGGTAAGGATTGGGATATTTTCAAAAATGTTGTAATTTTAACAACTTGACGAGTGCTTCATTTAGTAGATTAAAATGATTCACTTTGCTTGAAATATGTTATCGCGAACGTAGGTTTCCAAAAATGTAATACAAAATCGAATAAAACAAGTTTCCATTGGCCGGGGTCATCAGTGTTATCGGAGAAACGGTGTCGTCACTCGCAAAAGATTACATTTTACCTGTTTCTTAAAGGTAGTTTGTGTTTCGCGTTCAAATCGGGTGGTGCGTTTTGATCATAGATTTTGGTATGCGTACTAAAAAAACACCAAGGGTGAGTTTTTTCATTAAACTTAGTACTACTTTGCTTGTTTACTTGTAAACCGACAACTATTTGATTTGGTCTAATTAACGGGACGAATAATTAACCTTTCAATTCGCGGTGACTCAAATTACAAATCTTAGAATTTTGATATACAGGGTCCCAAGAGTTGTACAGGATTATTTTGCGCGCCATGAATTTCATTTCAGCAATGCAATACTTTGCATAAGATCTTATGAAAAACATTGCCAGGTTTATTTCGACATGGCACTCTAGATACCCATCATGATCGCTTGTTGATTAGTTGAAACAATTGACTGCGCCCTTATCCAATAAATTAAAAACATTCAACTGCGTTCTCAATTTGTCATCATCAAAACTTCAAAACGTTGGCTTTATGATGAGTCATTTTTGTTTTATTGTTGAACATTTTAAACCGCCATCAAATTAATACTTGAAATGAATAATCCACTTCACAACTTTTGCTTATCAGATATAACAATAAGAGGGAGGGGTGCAAAGTTCCTCCAATGATTTAAGCATATTAAAGAAATACAACAGCGAAACAAAACAAATTTCACATAAATAATTAAAATTAAATTTTAGACGCCGTTTTCGGAAAAATTCCTCTCTAATATCGTGCTAGCGCCTAAAACTTTAAATTACGTTATAGGAAAAATGACACATTTTAGAATACCCTTCCTTCTCTCTGTGGGCGGTAATTTTTTGCGCATTTTTCTAAATGTTGATGTTTGGACGATCATTATGTAATATTGGGGTATGGGGATCTCGTAAACCGTAGGAGATGCAAAATCGCTTAATTGGGCAAAGTTATACAGAATTTTATGCTGACTAATTTTAATAGTTAATTTTAATTTTTTCTCAGTTTTCTGATGTGCTAAAATAAAATTGTTATGACGTGGATTTCGAGTAAATCACAGTAACTTTCTTCTTTCTTATGGGCGCCATATTGGATTTTTACGTCACTTGATAGAGAAAAAAATTACAAAATTAGTGATACTAAGCACTTGATTCGTTTAGGAATCAACCTTGAATTTTGGCCTAAATTATTTGTTATGGCATGGCTGATTGTGATTGAAATCAAATTCATTCGTTCTATAC